CCCCTTACGACTTGTATGAAACGCATACTATCGAATGACAAAGATACTTTTTCACTACCAATTTTTCCTGTCTATAAAGAGTCAAAAACATTAAGGTCATAAATCAATCTATAAACTCAAATCACCACATTCATTGAAAAGCTGCGGTTTTTAATTTCAGCGTAACTCTTTCGGTCCTCGAAAAAATATAAAAAACGTTTTACAACACGATTCAAATAATTAAATCTGTAAACGATTAAGTATCGTATTTTACGAGTTTTTTAGTCACGCAATAAAAAATGACGAATCCTTAAACTTAACATGTTAATAAACTAAAATAAAATCATTTGATTATTCAAAAAATGTAATTTCTCAAAGTTATAATTTAAAAACAAATTATATAGGGATAGTTGTTGAGTTGTGAGGTTCTACTGTTTTTCGGTCATTAAAAATCGAATTAGCGATAACTTTCTTTTCTTTCATTTTTTTCCTTCTTCAAGATGATGTCACGAATTATCTGTTAAAAATTTATGTCATTCTATACTATTATTTATTTTCGCAGTTTAGAGATAAAAAAAAAAAACACTTTCTTATCTTGTTTTTCATTAAAATTTTTAAGAGGCCAATTTGTAGATTATTATACTAATTTTATCTCTTGAAGAGCATGAAAATCTGAATAAATTGTTTAAAAAAAATACCATGACATATAGAATTATCGAATTATAAAAAACAAACATCATTGATACTTCAATTTTTCGAATTCTCACAATTTTGTAGAATTTTATTTAGATTTATTGTATTAAAGGATTATTTTACGCTTGTAAAGCTGGCATTGACTCGTCTAGCATTGACGATTAGTACTTCGGTAGTTATTCAATCATCAAAATTTATTTGTGGTATTAAATTTGTTGCTTTTTTGTTCCTAATTAGTTACTCTAATTAGAATTTTATTATTTAATTAGATTCCAAGCAACCATTAATAATATCGGCCAATGCTAGATTGTATCAACGGTATCTTCACAAAAGTTATTTTTTAATTTCTTGATTTTTTTATAGTTAAAAAACGGTGAAACTCTGCATCTAATAGACCATCACATAAATAATTCTTAGATCGCGTTTAAAATTCCTAATTCAAAGATTTCACTCGTCATTATTCGTTATTTTATCAATTTAGTTCAACCCTAATAAAATATAATCATAAAAATTACAAAAAAGTCAAAACACATATTCTTAATAGATAGCATATAAAAGTTTTTATGTAAGAAATGTATCGTATCTATCTACCCTGCAGTTAGCATTAAATTTCTCAGCGTGCTTTTCCCTTTACGTGGGTGTCAGACTATGAAGAAGATCACGTAGAACAAGTTTACATTTAAATCTAGGAAAGAAGCATACCCATCTCGGAACCTAGTTATCCCCTTCGCTCATATTCTTACCGCGTATAAAAGATATACCTTAAATAATGGAGTTAGGTGACAGGTTGCCACAAACTTGCCAAAACTTGTAACCAATTATCGTTCATAACATGTTTTTCTTGCTAATACCATTCGTGTTAACACTGCAGATACTCATTTTCCTACTCACGGAATAAACTAAAGAAATTCTTTTATCAACTTCCTTACCCATTAAACTTTGTATGCATAATACTTCTCATAAAAATTTCTACTCACTCAACTGACTTGAATTTGCTGTCGCTATTAAGCAAAAAATTTGGTACAAAAATTTCGTGAGATCAAATCACTTTTTACATGAAACTCGAAAACCTCGAAACTTGGCGCATAAACTCTTTTCATCTTTCTAAGCTCACTATTATGAATATTATGATGTCAAAATTATAAAATAAAATAAAAATCGAAGAATTTTATATGAATAAATACCAATGATATAATAATAGTGATGATAAAACTGCAATGAGTTTAACGTTGGCATTTATATTAAGAAGCCCGAAAATTTAACATGGAAAAGATTATAAGAAAAAAATGTGAGATAAAGACTATTAAAAAAAAAAAAAAGAAAAATCTTGCACTTCTCTTAAGGTCTTATTATTGCCTCAGTAGGGTCGTTCGATTCAAATTGGAGTTTCAGTCGCAGAACCCAGTGGCAATGGTGTCAGTGATAACACCATTACCTTTGCTCAGACGATAAAGGAAGTGGTAGTCTGCCTCTACTTTATCAGAACGATTATTTTATGCATATGACAATGCTTTAGCAATATCATTCTGAGCAAAATAAATACACCATTGGGAATCATGATTGACTAAAATTTCACAATGAACAATTGCAATAATATTTTCATTCTGTACTTTTATCCGATTTTTTTTTTACTGATTGTGTTATGAAATAAAAGCTCAGTGGTTACTTTTAGAAGAAGAATTTTATCGCTCGAAATATCCTATAAATGCATTTCTAAACGTCATCGATATTCTGCAAGGATTCCAGGCTATATTAACCATTTTTTTTTTTTTTTTATAGACTTTATTCCCGTTATTGACTTTGATATGAAAGATAGAAGTGTATCAGAAGGATCATCCATTGATAGCTCCTTGGTATTTCACTTACTTATTACACTAATCGATTCTAAGTGTATTAATAAATAACGGAAATATTTTTTAGTAATAAGTTAATGTTCAATCAACTTTATTAAAAATTAAGTAATAAATGATTTTTCAATATTAGATAATTGATTCAATTTTTATGAACAGTCTATAAATCATTTATTAAATACGGTATATAAAGGTTTCTTAACAGTTATTAACAAATTATTGATCTAACACAATTTATTAACTATTAAAAATATTTATTTATAGTCAATAAATATTTGTTTATTGCTAATAGATATACTTCTCTCTAAAAAAAAAATCTGAAAAGCAGTTGACCTGCAAGCCATCCTTGGAAAAACGATTATTTAGAAATGATTTAAACGGCTATAATTTTTTAACATGCGTCGAAAGTTAAAAATTTACGAAAAGTTAAAAAAAAAAAGTTTAAACGCTAAACGTTATCAGTTGTCGTAAAAAAAAATTCGATACAGCTCTTCGCGTACCAGTAGTAAATGTTACACTCACGTTATTGTTCAGTATTGATGTTTAAGGTTTCAAAGAGAAAAACCCTGAATGCTATACCATGTCGCAGGAGGCTGAAAAAAATTTTTAACCCTTTTTCCAAAGTTTAAATCTTTGAAAAATAGTAAAAAATTGCGTTAATCAATTTCAAGACTCAAATAATTAATACCTAGTAAAAAAATTTTCGTTATTGTGAAAAGTGTAAAAATTTTTTGTAGAAGATTTAACATTTTAGTGTGTTTGTAATTTTCCATCGATTCGTTTTTCAACTTACTACAATGTTATTTAAAACTTAAATAACATTTTCTAGACTGGTGACCCTATGAGCGTGACGCCGCGCTCAATTATATTTTGTTTATTACTTCTTCAATATTTACTAAAATTATTCAAAAAAATTTGAATTTGTTCCTTGAACATTTTAGAATATATTCCTCATTGCTTGACCAGAGTCGTAAGTAGTTTTTTGTCCGCGGCGTTGCCGAAAACACCTCTAGTCTCTGCCTGTCAAACATGTATGAACTGGCAACACTGAACGCTCTAAAAGCATTGCGGCAAATCCCTCATCACTCGACCAAAGTCGTTAGGTCGCGTTTGTTGACCAGTCTAGGGTTAATACAAATCTGTGTTATTTTCATCATAGTGCTGCGTTACTTTATAACGATAAATGTAACGACATACGGATTGTGTTGAATTAACACAAAATTTGTGTAAAAAAAGACAGCAATTTTTCTGTTTAATTGGACGAAAAAAATTTTACGATGTATATATTCTAAGAATATACGACCAATGCAAATAAATTTTAGTTTCATTACAAATTTCATTCTTGAATTCATATTTTGAAACAAATATAAATTTGTAATGAGTTCATCAAAAAGACCATTGCAATCGTCTACAATAAAGTATAAAAGTTTTTTTGCAAGTCAATATTTTACGAAATAATAATATTATAAAGTCACAATTTCTATATACAGAAAAAACACTTACTATTAGGTCATTTTCGTACTTACCTTATTTCTAGCTCAAAATGAATTATGCACTGTTTTAGTAATAATCTCTATCAAACAATATGGATTCTTTTTTTTCATATCCTTAATGTTTATCACATAACGAAGCTAAAAATCGTACATTTCTACTATAGAAAGAAATCCATCAAATTCGACGCACGTTTTTTTTCTCGAACATTTTTCTAAGAAAATTGAAATATTTTTACGATAAAATTTATTATAAAATTATATTTGCTTCAAAACATAAATTTAAGAATCAAACTTATCATGAGATGACATTTTTTGTACAAGAAAATGCAAAACTTGGTATAAAAATTTTATCATACAAAATATTCATTCCAGTAATGGCGCCTGAAAATTACTATAGTTGCACTTGGTTGATTACTGAATGCACATGAACAATGTTTCAATGTTAACTTGACTCGCGATCTCAAGCAAAGTTCTCGTCGCCTCTTATGTTGTCGCACAATTATCGCGGAAAACAGCGATGAATAAAAACTCGGTGCGCGCGAGATTTATTTTCTGTCTTACTGAAGTGTACAACAAAAACTGTAAATTAATGACCCACTTACCGAACATGTGTGGTAAAATAAAATACATTTATGGTTGCGGTGTGAACTCTTCCGTTTAATGTAAGCGTTTTATTCCCGATTCGGAACATGGTAGTCATTTTTCAATACCTCTATTCCGAAGGGATTTGGATAACTATGTCACATGCTTCAGAGTTTAGAGTTTAAATAAAATATTTGCCGTGAGGGAAAATTCTGAAAAACAAAAAAATTTATTAAATTCTCGGAACATTCATGTAAATAAATGCTCATAGGAGTAGACTATACGTGAAATATTGTTCTATATAAAACACGTTATTTGGCTATTTTCACTTCACGCCGATGAATATCGTTCAAAACATCGCTCTCATACCACAAGACGGCTCAGTATATTTATTTTCTCCTAAATGCCATCACCGTACGCACACCCCGTCCCAGTGACAAAACTACGCGGATGATTAAGTGCTTTTATTATCACGTGTACAGACGATAATATTTTAAGCCCGCGTGACATTTTTGAACTCGCGTTACGAAAATGTTTCGAATACCACATCAAAACGGTGATGCTTAGTAATTGATTACTTTTTTCAGGTGGAAACGAAAGGCATTTCTGGTCCTATTGAGTTCAAGGAGGGTCGTCGAATCCAATTCAAGTTAGACTTACTCAAACTGAAACAGCATTCTCTCGTTAAGGTATATCTGTTCAATTATTATATACTTATATTTTTTTTTAACCTTTTACAAGATTGCTACTCTTGTAAAGGACTCTCAGTATCTTTTCTGTATAAAGAGAAAATTATGTGAAAATTAGAGAGAACTTCTGAAAGGAACTAATTAAGCAAAGTGACAAAGAAAATTTATCATTGTTCATATTTTAAACGTTTCGACACATAAATAGCTTTAATTATTTTTTTTTTTGCGGATAAATAGAGTTGTCCGTATTCTAATAAATCCTTTGACATTGATGGTTTACTTTGTAACAGGTGGGTGAGTGGAGACCTGACTCAGGTGTGAATATAACAGACGTCTCTGCATTTTTTGAACAAGGAATAGTAAATGTCACTTTAACAGTCATAACAATTCCGGTAAGTTTAAAAACATAACTTCAAAAGTTTGTTTAGTTTGCATTTTTTATAATTTGCTTTTCATGCAACCCATTGTAGTTTATATAAAGTTGATAATTTGTTTTTTCATTTACCCACATTTTACAATTCAATTTCATAACTATGTGACTGCTTTTTAATACTAATATTAATATGATTTCCATTACTATCATTATTATTATTATTATTTAAGTTTTGCATAAATAATATAAAAGTCTCTAGCGATTTTCATACAACGATATAGATAAAAAAATAACCATAAGTACACAGAAAAAAAAATTTACTTGTATCAAGTAAATAATTTTGAAGAATTTCATCTTCTCGATTTGAGTAGAAAAATTCTTAAACTAAGAAATTTTTCTTGGTTTAAGTCAATTTTACTTAATTCAAGAATTTTTCGTCTTGATTCAAGACAGTAAAACTCTTCAAAATTATTTTCTTGGTTCAAGAATTTTTCTCTTGATTCGAGTTAATTTTTTTTTCAGTGTACGATGAAAAAATACTATGCAATAAACTTCCCTCTTACTAAAAAAAATAAATTGAGTAAATCTGGCAATAGCTTGAGTTCTTGAGTTTACGACCATTCGCCGGAATATTACATACGTAACGAAATAAAAACTGTTATTCACAATATACAACACTGTGAAAACATTTCAAGTGCTTTCCCAAAGCCTTTCAGTTTTCTACTTGTATATTATTCAGCGTCCCTCAGCTTTATTTTTGTACATATTATTCATATGCATATTTCTTAACCCTATTTTATTATTTCCATTCACTTTTACTGTTTATTTTTTAGATAAGTACTAAATAAATGTTATAATAAATTTGTGGAGAAATTTCCCGCGTGAATTTAAATCTCATATTATATTATTGTTAAAATTCTAACTAAATATGAACTTGATTATTTTTTAAATAATTTTAAAGCCAAAAAATTGCTAACCATTCAATTTTTCATTATGGTTACCTATTTTTCATGTGATTAAAGTATCTATCAAATCAATAGATCAATGAAAATAAAAATTATTACTGTAAAATGAGATACTTAAAAATATCAGATTAATTAGCAAAAACCCGAGTCGGAAAACAATCTTAATTTTGACTTGGTTTAATTTAATTTCCTTTGAAGTTGTAAATTTTCCGATGTTTTTACCTCAGATCTTTACTTTTATTGACTTTTCTTGTCTTAGTATTTACTGAATCTTGACTTTTTTCGACTTAAAAATTACTTAGTTGCCTTAAATTTGACTTTCTCTGACTTAATCTATTCAGTTGCCTTAAGCTTGACTTTTTTGACTTAGACTAGACATATATCATGCTCGCTTCACTCGCCTTCATTCATTCAAAAATTTCGCCATTATTGTCGACCAATCAACAATCGAATAAAATAGTCACAGAAGTGACGTAAAACAATACGACATCCGGCCATAAACTTTTTAAAAGAGGATTATTTCGTTGCCTTAAACTTGAATTTTTGTTACTTAAAAAAACAACTCGCTATCGAGTCCAGAAATCTAGTCGTCTATTTGACTTATTTTTGCCTTTTTTTGACTTAAGGAGGTTCGAGCGTAACTTATGAGTCAAAATAATGTTAAAATTTTTCTTTTACTTTCAGTCTTCCCGATATTGGTCAAAATTCTTTATTTTAATTTAAAATAATTTGAACAATTTAATAATTTACTTATTTCATAAAATAGATTAATAAATTGACTCTCATATTTATTACTTGCCGGATAAAATAAACAGATTTGGCAACATCGCGTTTGATTATACCCATTACAAAGATGTGCATGAGTGTGTGAGGTAAATATTTCTCTCTCTCTGTAACAATATTTCTATCTTTTTCTTTTTTCTCAGCTGTGTTGACGCGGCGTTGCCAAATCTTTATAAACAAGTTAAAAATATAAAATTTAACTTTAAATATTTCAAAAATTATATCCATAATTTATTATCATAATTTTTTTTTTATATTTTACAATAATCCAAGTTTTTTGTGTACACACAGAAAAAAAAATTAACTTGATTCAAGAGAAAAATTCTTAAACCAAGAATATAATTTTGAAGAGGGTAATTGTATTGAATCAAGACGAAAAATTCTTGAATTAAGTAAAATTTCCTTAAATCTAGAAAAGTTTTCTTAAATCAAGAATTTTTCTACTCAAACCACGAATATTGAGCTCTTCAAAAATATATACTTGATTAAAGAACATTTTTTTTTCTGTGTAGTTTTTTATTCGTTAAAGTTAGGAGGTTAATATTTAACAAAAATTATTTAAGTCTCAACTGAAGTTTGTCCGCCATAAGAGGTCGTGTATAAGGAGATAAAAAAATAATTTCCTATTTTGAGCTTTGAAATTAAGTATACGTATAAATAAATACTTCATTTATCGAATCCCAAAATTTTAAAAAGATTCACCGTTTAGTTACTTATAGATATTAAATTTCAAAAATCACATTTTCACATTCACTGTAAAAAAAGCGGTGTTAAAATAGACTCATTTTAACACCGCTATGTACCACCTGTGTATTAACACCAGTGTAGCGATGCTCCTTTGTGGTGTTAAAAATCCGGTGTTAAACCGGTGTAATCGGTGAAATACCGGTGTAACAGTAGAATGACCGCTGAAATACCTGTGTAAAAAAAATCGCCGATTAATTGATGTAATTTATTTATTTGTTTTTGAACACATGGTCATATCATAAATGATTCTATACAATATTTTTTATTTGACTTTAAATTTTTGTCACTTTTATTCATAATTCACAAAACTATGTTAAAATTCATTTTATTTATACTTAATTATGACTTTTTTTGTTTTAAAAAAAAACTAACTTTGAAAGAAATCCAATTGATATTGACTTAATTTTGACTTTTTTGTGTTAAATCAATCTTAACTAAGCCCAAAAAAGTCAAAAGTAAGTCAAATGTTATGGAAATTTTACATTTATATAAGAAAATAAATAAGTTGAAATATGAGGATTTTGAATTAAATTTAAAGTCAAAATTAAAATTTTTTTTCGACTCGAGAAGACTAACCTAAAATTTTCAAGAATTTATAGTTATTGTTTCCCACAACCCTTTTGTTCTCTTGGGAAATCAGTTTCGTTATAGCTGCCTAATAGCAATGGTAGAGCTAATAACCCTATATCCTTCGTTTCCATATATTACATTGTCCGAATTACCAACGTTTACTTTCGATCTGTATATCGCTATTTGTGATACATTAATGAAGCTACGCTTGACTCCATTCGTAGTTTTAATGTATACGACGGTAATCGACCGTCATATTTCATCTTCCGATCGTAATATTACATTATCTGTAACATACGTAAAGAATTTTTTTATCTACTCACCACAATCAATTTTTATACTGTCAGAGTTAACCAAAGGAAAAGACTAATTTTATACATTTTTTATAATTGTTTGATCAAACAATCGATTGTAATTTTAAAAATTTTAGTTATTAATGTTAGAACAAAATATTCATTCAAATTTGATAAGAAGTATTAATTTTTTAACAAATAAAAATGAAATAAAAGTTATAAAAAAATCCATGAAGGTAATTTATGTTTTTTATATATCAGATATTTTTTATAATTTCTGTCTTTGATCGGATATTACATATTTTAAATTTATTTGCATATTTAATTTACTCGATTAATTATATAAAATCATCTAGCATCCAACATAAGATAATTTTTAAACAAAAAATGAACGATTATGAAAATAAAAAAAAATCAAGTGCAATACCTAAAGTGTAATTTTGCAATCTATTCGATGAAATAATTTTTTTTGTTACGAACCATAAAACACCATCTAGCGCTCGAGAATCAAATATCTGAAGAAGTCTAACAAAAAAATTCTTTACGTAATTTCCTATAAAAATGTAAAAGTGAAAAATTTTTCGACTCAAAAAATTACTCAGATATCTTGGGTGGCTCATACACAAATGTAATTACTATTATTTCGAGTGAAGTAAAACAGTAGAATCGTCCAATAAAGAACAACTGTAAAAAAATCTATACTAATTTATTTGTCATGTAAATTACACATTGAACAATGAATATATTGACAGGAAAAGCCATATGTAATGATGCATAAGGAAAAAAACTACACGGGTAACAATCGGTTTTACGGGTTTTGCGTGGATTTGCTCGAAGCAGTGTCAAAAGGTGTAGGCTTCAATTACCGTTTGGAGCTCGTTGAAGATCGCAAATATGGCGCGAAAGATCCAGAGACTGGCGAGTGGAATGGCATCGTTAATGAACTCATGCGACATGTATGCCTTGGTTTGTTTTATTTAAAATTATTTCATTTACTTATCCAACAGTCATTTGTCATTCGTAGATTTATTTTTGTTTATTACTTTAATTTGCGGATCCCATGTAGTTCCTCTTTGGTTCGTTTTGATTGTTATTATTTTTATTTATAATTTATAATCGAATATTTGTAATAGAATAATTTATTGGAACATATACGAATATAATTGTAGTTGCACACTTAATTTTATCAATTAGTTATCGCAATAGAATTTAAAAAATTACTGCTTCTATTTTGAATAATTTATGATATTTGTGTAAGATTTTATGTAACCCACTACTATTATTATAATTATTATTATTGTTATTATTATTATTATTATTATTATAAATAAAAGCCCGTAAGTATAAAAATAGAAAACAGAATAGAAAAAATTTAACAATGTCCGAAAGTCGTAATAATAAAAAAAAAAGATTTTGTGAGCTTATCACCAGAAGGCAGAAAAAAATAAAAAAAGACGGACGAAAAAAACGACAGATTTTCTTTTCTTCTCGAACCGTAGGAACAGCCCTACGTTATGCTGAGGAACACCGGAAATTTCAGCGGTAACGAACGGTACGAGGGATTTTGCATCGACCTTCTAAGAGAGATAGCACAAATGGTTGGCTTTACCTACAAGATCGAGTTAGTGCCGGATGGCAAGTACGGTGTTTACGATTACGAGACTGGCGAGTGGAATGGAATTGTACGGCAATTGATGGATAAGGTAAGTTACTGAGATTAGATTTAACAAAAATCATCTCTCGAATTTAAGTTTTTACTTTCCATAATTAAGATAACTTTTATTTTTTTTTCTTTTCAAATATAAGTTTTTTTTTTACTAATTGATTGCTGTTAATAAGATGGAAGAGAAATGTTTTGGATAATAGTTTCAATTGAATATAATGACCTCACAGTAGAATATAAATGCTGAAACAATAAAATCTTTTTAGGTTTAATCAATAAAAAATTTTCTGAAAACATACGAGTTCGAGAGCATGTTAGGAGCAAAACAAATATTTTTAGTCCGCTTTGCTTGTTAGAATTTATGGAAAATTTTAATAATATTCTTCAATGTGTTAATTCAAAAGTTTAATTAAGTACGTATTATTAATTTTTTAAATTAATAAATTGTTAATTCAACTTTTATAACAATTTTTTGCTCTTATGATGATTACAAAAATTAAACATAAATTTTCTTTAGTTCAACATTTGTTCAATATTAATTAGTCAATTTTATATTACCTTTAAAAGGAAAAAACTTTATTCGAATTTTCATAGTCTATATCTTTAAATTATTTTCTAAAAAATTGCTCGATAGGCTGCATTATTTTCTACAAACTTTTTCAATTTTTTTCCATTAAGGTGCATAAGTTTCAGAAGCAAAAATAAAATAAAATGTTCAAATGATAAAAAAAAATTCCGAATGACCATTTAAAAATTTTCGAGGGAGGATCTAAAAAAATTTTTCGTGTGCACTATAGTGCGCATCATTTATAAATGATTCTGAACAGAGCATGAAAAACAGCTCGGAAAATGACAGTTTAATTTATGTATATAAATATATAGAGTAAAAGACCCCATTAGTGGCGGGGACCCCATTACTGATACTTTCTTTGATTTTGGTACTTATTCAATTAATTAAATCATTAAGTTCAATAATGAATATATTATTTCTAATCTTTAAGACCTTTTGATCAAAAAAATTTTTAATTTTTATTCCAAGTAGAACATTTTTTTATTGAAAGAAAAAGTGCCACTAATGGGGTCTTTTACCTTATTTACGTGAATAAAAAGTCAAAACTCCGTGCAGTGAGAAGTGAAATCGAGTGTAAGCATTTTTGTTTATTTTTTCGAAAAATTGAATTATTCATATAATATAATAAATATGGCAGTATATCACTCTTTTATTTAGCAAAATATTGGTAGGATTTGAAAAAAAAAAAAAAGTAACTAATTTGGTTATTGTGAAAAAAAAAAAAAAAAAAAAAAAAAAAGAGTACTTTATTATTATTTTTTTCACAAACCAGCATGTCTATTGTTTCCGGGTTAGACCGTCATAATTCATAATGTATGAAGTCGTGGTCCCGTAGCGCGAACGAGAGCTTCCGTCGATTCAAATTTCAGATAGGTTGTCGAACCGATCCACGCCGTACTTCACGAACACTGAATACAACGTAAACGGGTGCAATGCTCTACCACCGAGAGCATGGATGCTTTTGCAATGCAAATGAATTCTCGAGTGAAACGCGGAAATGGTGCGGTACGACATCATACCAAAGGGTGGGTTTAACTAACGCCGGTGAATTGGTACATACCTGAATACCAAAATGACTGACATGACTCTCAAGATCAAACGACTTTTTATGAGTTTTTAAAATTAATTGTTATTTTCTTTTTCCAACTATTTTTAACTTCCCGCTAAAAATCTCAGATTTTCAAAAATCGGGAAGTTATTGTTTTCACCCCGTTTTACAAAAATCGAGTTTTCATCAGATCTCGACGTTTGAAGGTTACAGGAAGCTTCCCTGACTATTTTTACGATGATGTCCGTACGTCTGTATGTGTGTGTGTGTGTGTGTGTGTGTGTGTGTGTGTGTATGTGTGTGTCAATCCTTACGTTTGAACTTTGAACGACTTGACCGATTTCTATCGCAGTTGGTGTCATTCGAAAGGGCTTCACTAAACTTAGATTTCCTGAGAGTTAGAACCAATTCGGACCGGTAGATTTCGAGAAAATAAAAAAAAAGTTGTTTTTTTTTTTATTTTTTTTAAATATCTCCGAATTGGCTGAACCGATCAGTCTCAAAAACTAATCAGCTCTTAACCTTGAAAACCCACATCGATCGCCACCAAAAACGTTAGAATCGGTTGATGCATTCGTGAGATATCGTTGTCGAAAAAAATCGAAAAAAGTGTTTTTTGTAATAACTTCGAAATTCATGGCTCGATCGATTTAAACCTGAAAATTTTCCATGGAGCTTCAAAAACTGCGTCAATTGCCGCCAACCGCGTGAAAATCGGTCCATTCATTCAAAAATTATTGCCGTTTGAATAATCAAAAAATTGTGTCTTTAAACTGCTATCAGAGTTTTGAGCTCGAAGAGCTCAAAAACGTAATATGTAGTTTGAAGCGTTTAAGTACAAAATGAGCGGGAAGTTGCAGGGATGGCCTTTAGGGTGAACCGTTTTTCTAATTTTTTTTTCATGCCTCTATCAGTCTATACCTACGCTGTTGAAGAATATTGCAAATTTCGTAACATTTTAGTGTACAAACATGTTAAAATTAAATATCCGGTCTAAGGATCCGAAATAATTTATAATTTATGCATAACACGGGAAAAAAATTGTAGGAAAAATTACAATTGTTACATCGTGATCCAGGACCAGACTTTCAATACGGTAACTTTGATAATTTTACACTTTAAAATTTACGATTTAACATAGTAAACTTTGAAATGTAAAATTATCAAAGTGACCGCATTGAGTCTGATCCTGGATTACAATGTGATAGTTCTAATTTTTCCTAAAATTTTTTCTCGGTATATAGTATTACGATATTTTCTTGTAGACTTGAAATCTACTTATTAAATTTAAAAATATTTGCATATTTATGATTTAAAAATCAATTTAATAAATATTCAACAAAACATATTGAAGTATCCGTACGAGTATTAATTGAAAGATATATTGCATGAATCTAACATGAAGCGATAAATTGTCGCGATCTTTAGTAAATATGTGAAATTCCGATTTACATTCACTTGAATAATGACATATCACTAGGCAGACCAATAAAAACATGAAAAATTAACTTATATAGGTACAAATAATATTACTTTTGTGAAGTAAAAAAATTATTATCGTCAGTGCTGTTATTTATAAATTAACTTTTATTTGACATCCATAGCGTTATGTATTGAAAACATTATTTTTTTGTCGAGTATTGAATATTTAAAATTTTAAGGGAGTTAGTTTTATTTTTTTATCAAGTGCGAATGAATAATTGCCGTCGAATAAAAAAATTTTAATTACTCAAGCACGTCATCGCTATGGTGACTTTTGTTCCAGTATGGTTTCGAACTAAGAAAATAATTTCTCAATGCTTGACAATCACGTTGCTTGCTAACTTGCAATTAGAGAGAGCAAACGAAAGAGATAACTAACGAGTACAAGAAAAGTACTAAAAGGTCAAACGTCTGAAATATACAAAACGTTGTACTATATTTTTTCATTCCATTATAAATTATGGTATGAGCTATTGAAGAAAAAATTATTCATGTGCTGAATTTTTCCTGAATATTTTTAATTTTCATTGTTTTAAAATCCAAGTTGAAGAAAAATTTATTCTCGTTATCATATGCAATAATTAACATTTTATCAATTTAATCAAGTGGAATATCATTATCATAATCACCATGATTTATAACTGCTGATCAAATAAATAACTTATATTTTATATCAAGTCATAATAATAAAATGCACTTATGGAACTACAACAAAAACTTGAGATACTTCTTTTCATAGAGACAACAATGCAGCTTATTTAAAAAAAAAAACTTGAATTTCTTTACGACAAAACACTGCCACTCAACTGATCTTGATCAGTTTTAACAGTGAAAATACGATACCTTTACTTACAAAGTTTCGTCGTTGCGAAATTGTTTTTTTCTTCAAATAAATGTCTCAGTTGTTACGGTTAGACAATATATTTTGAAATTAATTTTTTCAAACAAAATTTAATGTTTCCTGACCGATAAAAGCTAAAAGCTTTAAAATCAATTAAAATTTAATATAAAAATGAATAACTTATTGTTTGTTATTATCAGTTACGATTGCAAATTTGATAACCTATTAAAGTTTCATTATAAACCGCGGATAATAAAATTCTGTATAATACTCAGTTTAAAACTCTACGCATAAAAAGTTTTAATGAATTAATTTATTAAATTTACCGAGATTGCTTTATGATGTCCACAAAATAATAAAAAAAATAATTTAAGCTCACAGCCAGTTAAAAATAAACCTTTCTTAAAAATTTTCCTCGTTTTAAAAATCTAAGTTTCAACATCGGAAAGCTAATAAATATTAATTACAATCATAAATCGATAATTCAGTTTTACTGGCCTTCAATCAATTATCTTTGTCGCTCTCGCGTGAGTGAATATTCTAACAAATTGACGTCCACCAGTTAAAATCAATTTTTTACAGCGCTTATACTACTACTAGCACTCTACTATTATATTACATTTACTACCACTACTACAGGATAAATACTTTTTAGTCATTTCGCCCTTCATTCATCCGAATACACACGATGCAGAGGAAATAAAAATACTTGCTGTCGTTGCGAAATACCTCTGTGCAGTGAGCTATACTGACGTTCATATTAATTTAGGTAGATGATCATTAATTATACTCGCGATATAGTGTAAAAGAATGAAAAATTGTTTATATAAGATACATTTGCTGCTATAGAACTTTTTATGATGGATAATGTTTTTTTACATATAATAAATAAGTGTATGTATATATCCATCTATGTTGAATCAAATAATCGCTGGATTTTTCGAACGTACTATAAAAAACCACAAATAAAACTTTAAGCGGATTTTTTTATATACAAACAGAATAAAGCATACTAAAAAGAAAAATAACAATACAAAGCTTGTATTTTATGAGCTGAAAAAAGTTTCAGCCGAAGTTTTGTTTCTAGATAACAATAAATTATAAAGCAAATCTTAAAGATTGTGGATAATTCAATTGATGAATGTAAACAGATTTTATTATTATTAATATTATTATTGTAAAGAAATTTTTTTATTACTACTTTTGCTTGATAATTAAATAATTAGTATAAATTATTTATTTATTAAACAATAACCCAACAGCCGAAGCCAATAACAGGGTTTATAAGGAACACAATTAAGAATGATATACAAAAAAAATATAATTAGATGGCAAAAGATGCGCCCTTAAATACTAGGTAATAAAGGACAAGAAAATAGTTATATAAAGTTAACTATGATATTAGATACAATATTAAATATTAAATACTAAATATGTTGGTCGTAGCTTAACAACTATTTTACCAACTAATTATAAATAACTAACAACTAATTATAAATAAAAATACCTAGCTTATTTGAGTAAATGCACGTTTGCTTACATAGGATAGGCATTTAGAGCCCAAATTAGTTTTGCGTAAATATTTATTTTATTCCAGCACAAGTTTATGCGGTAAATAATTCATTAAACATTGTATCTCATCATTTTTGATTTATTTTTTTGTATTTTATATATTTATTTAAAAATTATATATGACTTTAATAACAACAGTAAAATTACGTAATGAAGTAATTGAATTAAAGTAGAAATAATTTTTCCAGAAGGCTGATTTAGCAGTAGGTTCAATGACTATAAATTATGCAAGAGAGAGTGTAATCGACTTTACGAAGCCATTTATGAACCTCGGAATCTCCATACTCTTTAAGGTAAGATTTAGAGAAAACAAAAAATATAAAAAAGTTGTCAGAACAAAATGTAAATGTCTGTGGAGCCTTAATCGCACAGGAGGAATACCAGACTATGCTATTAGGAGCCTGCAATTATGATCCTCTTGAATGAACGTCGCGCATTTTAATCAGAAACTTAAAAATAAACTTAAACTTTAATAATTGCTATAAAAATTACTATAGGTTGACTGAATATATGTTATTATTTTAATATTGTTAAAAATCCTTGCCAATAAAAAACTTTTTTTGTCGATTTTTATTCTTTTCTAAACTACACGTTGTTTGACTTGAAGGTTTTAAAAATTTTTTGGAAAATGAAATTCCTCCATTTTTTTATTAAGAATTATCCATGTATAGTAAAAAAAAATTTTGCGTCATTATATGAAATTAACATTTTACTTGCTCTGCTGATAAAATTTAAATGTGTATAATTTGTAAATTTTTATTACAGAAAAATTAACATAAATTCGTATTAAATTTATTTTACGCGTGATTTGTGCAAATTTTGCACAAAAAAAAACGTTATTTACTATTTCATTATGTAAAAAAAAATTATATTTTTATGGAAATCTTTTATCATCTTTTTTTAACAAAACATAATCTTTAAAGCAAAGCCAATATACAAAAATGATAAGCTCCATTGAAATGAGTTTGATTCGGAAGAAAAAAAAAAAACATTATAAAAATTCAAATTGCAATGGCATCACTTACAATATATTATTTATAACTACTATAAATTCACGACTTAGTGCAAACACAAATTTAATGACAAGTCTATGAATTTAATTGAATTCAAATTGTGTTAGAATAATGTTATATTTAAGTATCATACTATTGAACTTGACTTAACAACGACCATATAAAACAAGCTCTTGAGCACACACATAAATTCTCGTTGAAAGTGAGCAATCGCCAGCGTTTATCAATAGAGTGCACAGTGTATAGAGTGTTAACTTGTCTGCACAAATTTGAGACTGATTAAATTTAATGAATTCAGCAGAATAATATTTCTCGAATGACACTAAACTAAGCACTGTAATTATTTCGACTGTTTGCTTTGTAAGACGTTGAAGAAAAAGATTGCCTTATTATATAATACCTAATCAACAAAACGTTAATAAAAATTTTAACTTTGAAACAAAACTTTAGTTGCATAGATGTCTCTTGGTTTCTGTTAATTGAAACATTTTAACCCGATCGATACCTAAGCAAATGGTGTATGTGACCTGAATCTTGAACGAGGGCAATTACGCTCGTTAATTAACATGTTACCTAGACTTTCCTATAGTAAAACATATCTTTTTATAAATTTAATTCACATCAAATTATAACTTTAACAGTGCTCATAATCATCAAATATTATTATTATCATCATTAGTTATAAAATTATTAATTATACGCCTAAACATATATAGTCTATTTCAACTTTTTATTAATTAACAATTCGTGGATCATTTCGTTCCCCATTCTGAAGAGATACTTTCAGACAACTGTAAAATTACAAATAAGTAAAAATTATGAACATGATCTCATAAAATTTCTCTACGTGGTCTTTACAAATGATATACAAAAAATTTTTTCAAAGAAATCAATAAAATAATATTAAACTAAATACACTATGAAAAATAAAAAATTTTATAAAAATTTAGTATTAAAGGTTAGTGACTAGCAAACTTACTCAAAAGCTGGTTACTCTTTCTAATTATGAAAAATCTTTTTAGATATTATTATTATTAATTTTTTTGCAGTAAGAATCGAAGAAGATTATTTATTTAATTAAAACTAATAACATAAAATAAGTAATAAATTATTTATAGGTACCAACGAGTCATCCCGCTCGATTGTTCTCGTTTATGAATCCTTTAGCAATTGAAATTTGGCTATACGTTCTCGCTGCTTATGTCCTGGTCTCTGTAACAATGTTCGTCGTCGCACGATTTAGTCCCTACGAGTGGAATAACCCACATCCGTGCCATTCGGGCCCGACGGAAATCGTCGAGAATCAATTCTCCTTGGCAAATAGTTTTTGGTTCACCATTGGAACGCTGATGCAGCAGGGTAGCGATCTCAATCCAAAGGTATTTTAACCATTCTTTTTTCATCATTTTACCATTTATTCTATTATTATCTTTTCTTTCAATCACCTTTAAAGAATCTTTGTAAGAATTAACTAATTCTTTAAATAATATTTTTGTGTAAAAAAAACTCAAATATTTTTTATCCCTAAAAATATGTATCTAAACAATATCGAAAAAGAAACAAACTTACCCTATATGAATTCAACATATAAACGTACAGAATAAATTTTAGTGGGAATAAAAGATAGATTCGCTTCACTGTTGCTTTAGTAAACAGATCGTGATTGATATACTGTGATTGGTAACGATCTCAATTTATGGCACTGACTACCGTTCAATCGTAGTTATTTTACTTTGCTAATTTATTCGCTATTAATTTAAGGTTTTTTTTTTTTTTTTTTTTTCAGTATCATGAAAAAAAATTAAAAGTACTTTGTTTTTGATAGCAAAATAATAAAAGTAAATAAATGGATAAAATTTATAAATTGCTTAGCGAACAGAAAAAGTTTCCGTAGAATTTTTATTGGAATATGTTCACCAACCACTCGCATAACCGAATTGATTATTTTCATTCGAGAAAAAATAAAAAAGAAATATAAAATATAAGTGAGACAATTTTTCACAACGACATATATTTTTTTGCGGCAAACGATATATCTTTTGCACTCATAGAAACGCGATGCTTTGCATTTCTGTTGGTGAGTGAATTTCATGTTTCTATATTTTCTAAAATGCTTATACCTAAAAAAAACTCGTAAATTATTTTTATTGCCATCTTCATGTGTCAAATCAATATTTTAATATTAAATATGTCCAGAAATTTCTAATATGGTAAGATTCTTCTTAAAAATTCAAAAAATTAGTGAAGAAAGGATAAAATGATAAAAAAAAATTTATCGATTATTTTTATGTAATAAAATTCGAAGATTTCTAGAACTTTTATGCCAATGAAATAATGAATCGATACTCACCTTATAATTCTCAATAAGCTAATTAATCGCTAAATAAATCTAGTTTAAGAAAATAATATCATTATCAAACCGCATCGTGACTCAATTATCCTTAGCAAAAGGGCAATAAATCCATTAATGGAGCTCTATCAATTCAGAAGCACTAGGGATAAAAACAAACATTTTTTGTAAAACAGTATTCATTAAACAACACAGTAGAACCGTCATTTAAATTAAAATTTAATTTTGTATTTTTTCAAAATTAATTTTTGAAAAAAACTTTTCTTCAATGTAGTAAATAACATTTAAAATCATTTCAGGCAACAAGTACTCGAATCGTTAGTGGAGTTTGGTGGTTCTTTACCCTCATAATAATATCATCGTACACAGCAAACCTCGCGGCATTTTTGACTGTCGAGCGGATGATAACTCCAATCGAACATGCTGAAGACCTTGCTGGCCAAACTGATATTACTTATGGGACTCTCGACAGTGGTAGTACCATGACATTTTTTCGAGTAATTAAACTTAACTTGATTTTAGAAAAATCTTAAATACAATAATTCACAAAAAGTAACATAATAAAAATATAATTCCAAAGGACTCAATGATTGAAACTTACAAAAAAATGTGGCGGTTCATGGAAAACAAAAAACCTTCAGTGTTTGTTTCTACTTATGAAGAAGGAATCCAGCGAGTGCTACAAGGCGACTACGCGTTTCTAATGGAATCTACGATGCTGGATTATATTGTACAGCGAGACTGTAATCTCACCCAAATTGGTGGGCTACTTGATAGCAAAGGATATGGAATTGCAACCCCGATGGGTGAGATAATTGTTACTGTTGATTCAATAACCGCTGATTATATGTCTTGCGTTATCTAACTCATAAAAAATAAACCTTTTTCTGACACTTCTTTTTATTACGTGAAACTGTCGTACCGAAGATATATTTATGTAGATGAATTTATCTATTCGATGTAGCATTCAGAGATTTTAAATTCCTGTTATAAAATTCTTGCACGTTGTATTGTTTTCTTTTATTTCCACGGTTATGGTCATGAGTATTCATCTCGCGACAAAAAAATTGTACTATACTTATTTTAGCTAAAAAAAAAAATTGATATACTCATAAAACAAGTGTTGTATATTAATAAACCTCTTATATATACATTTAAAATTATTGGGGAAATCAGTATAGTAGAAAATTAATTCATTTGAAATAATGTTAGAATTCATTTTCTTACTCTAAATGCTAAGTAGTGGAATAATTGATTGAACACAGAGTGAATATTTTACTAAAAATTACTTTATGAATTATAGAGAGTCTCAATCATTTCTTATAAATATATTAAGAAATTGATATTACATTTTCATCTTTGTATTTTCTAAGGCTCTAATTGGTCCTTTTAGAAAAATATTATATCTTCAACAACGATGACGAAAGTTAAAATATCTATAATAATTATATTAATTTTAGAAAATATTTTTTCAATCAATTTTTTAATTTTTTTCATAAACTAAAGTTTAATGCATTAAAAAATGACAATAAATCAAACATACAAATTTATTTTTCATGTTACGATATTTTACGGTGATCTTTTACATAAATATAACCTAATGTAAATTTTTATTGTATACTTTTATTGCCACTTGGTAATATTTGGCATAATATACATCGATCTATATCTTTCTCTAGAATACTGGGAAAAAAATCTTATTGAAATTTATTTTAAAATTGTTTTTTTAGATAATATACATTTCAGGATACATAGAAACATTTATTCGATGGTATATAAATAGAGAACAGAAGTAAACCGATTTTCATTTTTGTCACTTTGACGATTTAAAAAATCCCTTTGTTCAATTACTAAATGGTTAATATATATGGGTGATTCTCTGTAAGGATGTTTTTTGCTGTCCCAGGCATTTTTTTATTAGAAAAATTGTTATTTTGTTACTAAAAAAAATTTATTACGAAAGTAAAAAAACATTTCTATTTGGAGCATTGAAAACTAAAATGGAATAAATTTTGGTTTTTTTTGCTATAAATTCGTAAACCACCGAAATGTCAGTCCCGCCCGCATGGAAAAATATATATGCGAAAAATATATGCAAATATATATTTTCACATATATTTTTTTTCCGCTAAATATATGTCTGCATATATGTTCACATATATGCGTAGATATATGTTCACATATATGTGCGTATATAAGTGTCTAGAGATACACAGAAAGAAATTTAACTTGAATCAAGAAAATAATTTTGAAAAATATAACTTTCTTGATTTGAGTAAAAAAATTCTCAAACTTAGAAATTTTTTTTTCAGTGTATGCTTACATATATGTCTACATATATAAATAAATAAATATAAATAAATAAATAAATATATTTTTGACATATATATTTCTCCATGCGGGCGCCCTGGGCTGTCCCAGTCCTAAAACTAAAACTTTAAGATTAAATTTTAAGTTATTCGTCAATAATATATAATTTGGTCCATAATGTTTATAAACTTAATTAGTTAACTAACAATCTTCTTAAATAAAAAGTACCGAAAGTTAATTTGTTTCATTAAATTCATTAAACCAAAGTTTGTCCCAGGCATTTGAGATCAGTCCCCTGCCAGAAGTTCAAAGCCAAAAAAAAAAGTCTAGCGTATTATTTTACTTTTTGTAAGGTTTATAAGGATCTAACTAGCCTTAATTTAATAACCATAGGGCTGTTAGCGCTTTATCGCTATTTTATTTAATGTTAAAGCACCGTTTGTGCTGGAAATATGTGTCTGGGCCACTTCAAAACTCAGTCCCCTGGCAGCTATTTTTATTTATAATTTATTTATAAAATTGGATCCATAAGTCTTAACATTATTCTAATTAATGTAAACATTCATCGAGAACTTAAAAAGTTGAATGGATTGAAATAGTTTGCTTGATTTTTCTCAATTTGATAAAAAAAATCAGTCCCCTGGCAGTCAGTCCCCTGTCATGTTATATGGCAAAAGATACACAAATATCGAAAAAGCAAAAATTAATTCGGCTGTTTGTTTATTATAATTAAGCTGATAGTTTTGTATCCCTTGTTAATTTTTTTTCTAATAAAATCAAAAATAATTTGGCCGGACAATTTTGTACAGATTCAAGACGTCCTTACAGAGAATCACCCATATATACATATATTTGTCATGCCTGTATGAATTTAGTTAAAGTTTCAGTTTTATATAGCTTTTGAACATTTTACAAATTTATGATCGAGAAAAGTAAAAAAAAAAAAATCTCGTTCGATACAACCAGCAAGCGTACTGGTATTAATTAATAAAAGTGATTTTTATAAATAACAGGTTCGCCGTGGCGTGATAAAATTTCACTTGCAATATTAGAACTTCAGGAGAAGGGTGAAATTCAGATGCTATATGATAAGTGGTGGAAAACCCCAGGAGATACTTGCATGAGAACTGAGAAGGGAAAAGAGAATAAAGCGAACGCTCTGGGTATTTCGAATATAGGTATTAAATTCACTATTCGTTTATGATTTTAAATATTTACTAACTCTAATAATTAAATTATGATTTATTTCAAATTAAAGGTGGAATATTTGTTGTTTTATTGTGTGGACTAGCATTTGCAGTATTAATTGCAATATTTGAATTTTGCTACAATTCAAAACGTAATTCCATATCCGAACGGGTAAGTTGCCAGAAAATATTACTCCGCACATTTAGCTTTGTGCATTTTACACTTACGTTTATTATGTAGCTTGCTGGCATGAATTCAACTTTTATTTACGGTTGCTATTGAATAATCACTGAAAAATTTCAACAGAAACATAAACGCATTAATATAATAACAAAAAAAAATAAATGAACAATAAAAAATACTTTTCTTTATTTGCATGAACTGTATTAGCACGAACTTATTGACTGAAGCATGCTAATCATCAAATCACTCTCAAAGCATGCATAGTAAGTAAAGGTAAGATTAATTTTTTAATTAAAATGCTCACGCTCTTTTCCAAGTATATTTATTATTTTTATTGGATTAATCGTTTATTTACGCATGAAGATTTCGAAAGTAACTTGAAGTAAACAGAAAAGAACAGCTCTATAAAAATAAAAAATCAACTAAAGTCGAAATATTTAACTTACAAAAAACTTGCATGAAGTTAATGAATTGAAATTGAAGTTATTAAACTTTCAAATGTACTCTGCAAAAAGTAAGAATATTGATTCAAACTTCTAAGAGTTTGACAAATTTACATTTGAGTTGAATCGAATTCACTTAAATCAACTTCAAATAGCTTGCGCTAAAAGTAATTTTTTTCAAATAAATTGCTCAGACGATTATATTAGTTTTTAGATTTAAACTTAACTAGTGTATTACATTCAATTGAATTAAAATTTGAATCGATTAAGTTCAACTTCCATTCCTTGAGGAATAAACCTAATAAATAGTATTTATAATAATTATCTTCTGTACTCGGATTAACTAAAAGTATCTTTATCGAAGTATAAACAATGCTTCAACAAAAGTATTTTCATTGTTGATCATAACTCGATAAAAAAAAAAAAAATTACTCCTCCTTTCGAGTTTGAAGCTAATTTTAAAGAAATGATCTTATTAAAAAAAAACGTTAAACTTTTTTTTTTAATTTGAGCTAAATGTACTTTGACAAAAAAACATGCAAATAAAGTTTACAATTTAAAAATTCATAAATTTTTCTGTCACATTTATAAAACTGTTTTTTCCACAAGTATAACGAAAACGATTGAATAAATAAATAATTTTAAATGCATGAGGTCACTGCAAAATCTTGAATTTTGACAATTGTTAGTGTTCTACTCTTATTTTTGTTAACAAAAAATTTTCAAAGAAATATCTCTTCAAGTGGATCGCAAGAACTATCTAAAAACAGAGTAAAAAATCTAGGTCATGCATGTAATTATTTTGAAGAATTGAAACAAATTATCAAATATAATATTCTGGAAAAAATGAAAAAAAAAAAAAGTAAACACATAATGACCCTGCAAAAAATTCTTGAAACTTCTTGGTCGAATCAAAGACATAATAAAAAATAAAATTTTAGGCTCATTAGAGCGAACATAAAGTCGAAGACAACGAGGAGTTCAAGAGGTGCCCTGCAGGGTCACTTATTCAACTCGTTTTTATAAAAGATTTCCATAGTAAGAAACATAAATATAAATGAGTAACCAACCAGCGCAAATTGAATTGTTAATACAGTCAACATCATCAGCACAACCACCTCCCACATGCTCAGGCTCGCTGCAAGCAATCCCGCAGAGTATGCAACAGCAGAATCAGCAGCAAGAGTCTTTATGCACCGAAATGATGCGTGAATTATACCGCGCGCTCCGCTGCCGCTCATCGTCTCAGAGACGACGAGCTTGCGAGAAATGTTCCACTCACGTTGTGGGTTATCCATTGGATAATATCTCCGCAACTCCTTTTAATGGAATGAGATCTCAGGTAAATTTCAGTCGACTCATTTAACGGCATGTAGGGTGTAGGATAATCCGATTTCACTGACAAATGGAAGACTAAGCTGATTATAGTGACAGGACTTAATATTCACGATTATGTGTTACGTAGCACTCGTGATACACAATACTTACAATAATAGCACCCATAAGACTTGAAAAGTGATAAATCATGTTCGTAAGGGCGACAAGAGCGTATAGTTTTTTTTTTATTTTGCTCTAATTAACTATAGTAGATTTCTCATAGCCTAAAAAAAAAAAAAAAAAAAAACCTTCAAATCAAAAAGATGTACCTACATTTCGAATTAAGCGCTTTTGTATTATTAAGAACTTATACTTGGTAATTTATAATTCAAATGATAAAAACAGTTATTGACCATAAATTTGGTTTCTTTTATTTTTAATGTACACGGAAAAAAAATTATGGGAACTATTCCTATACCATTATGGGAATGGTTCCCATAATGTTAGAGGAATAATTCCTATACTATTATAGGAACTAATATCCCATAATATTATGGGAATGGTTCCCATAATGCTATAGGAATCATTCCTATATTATTATAGGAATTATTCCTATATTATTATAGGAATTATTCCTATACTATTGTAGGAATGGTTTCCATAATTTATGGGAAGCATTCCCACAATAGTATAGGAATGGTTCCCACGATATATAGGTTTAAATCCTACACGGGGAAAAAAAATTGGTGGTGCCACATGATACATTCCTGTGGCAGATACATGATTTTCATGTGACAGCAACATGATTTTCATGCGGCAGGCAATAATAGTTAGAGCAACAATAATAATTAAATAATACTAATAATAATAATAATTTATATTATTAAGATAATAAGAACAATTTTTTCTTCTGGATAGTCTTATGATGAAATCGATTTTTTTAGTGAAATTTAGTGTCATTGCAAAGGACTTGACTTGAATTTGTGCCTTTTCAAGGTTTCATATCATTCTCATCGATAGTCAATTTATGATGATAAGTATTTAGGTTGCATTCGAAAATGCTCTATCTCTAGACATATAATTGAAAAATGACCGTGTATCTTGTGAACTATTGACATTTTTAAGGATATAAGCTCATTCTGACATTACACTCATCGAGACCTTTCATTTGAGTACCCACATCAATTTTTCATATATTTTATATATTTATATATATTATATATATAT